GAGAAGATTATAAGAGAACCCTTTGTGAAAGGGTGGCTGCGAGTTCCTTAGACACCTAGAGGTGGCTGTTTGGAGTGGGACATCGAGGCAAGAAGAAAAGCACTGATAGAGGCACAGACCTTAGAAGTCAGTTCCAAGCTCTGGTGCATGGGGAGTTGCCAGCTGGTGAGCCTGCCTGGGAGAGCTGGGCTCAAACTACACAGGCCTTGGGTGCTGTGCAGGCTTCCACCTGCGGTTCCAGATGCTGGGGGAGCCAGCAGGCCTTTCCCTGCACAAAAGTAAATGATGGGGTTGGGCTCTGTGTGGGGCAGATATCAGAGGCTTTGTGGAGAGTGAGTGGGGAGAAATGGGTAAGGATGCCCAGTTAGGTTCATGGGAGGTTCACGGGGGGAGTGGTTGCCCGGTAATACTAGCACTCAAGATGGAGAGCGCTGAGGACCATGGGTATGAGGACAATGCTGACCTCTGCCGTGGGCACACCAGGCAATGCCAGCAGGCCAGTGAGGTAACCATGACCAGAGACAAGTGGGAGTAAACATCTAAAGCTGGGGTTAGGGGTCAGTATGGAGATTTTAAAATGAGAATGCTCATCCTCGATGCGTGGTCCCATCAGTGAAAATGGGGCAGACATCCCAGAAAATGTGAAGATGATGGAAAGGAGGCCTAATGGGCACCAACCACTGAAGGGCACACCCCAAAAGAGATGCTAGAAGGAATGACTGGAGAGGTCAGAGAAGAACCGGGGGCCTCGGGCAAGGGTAGGGAGAGGAGATCGATGGAGAGAACTGAAAAGCACTCTAGGGATCTGAGGACACCAGGGATGGTTTCAGTCCTGTCGGAGGGAGCTCAGCAAAAAGGTTTGCTCATACTGGGTTTTGATTTGGTTTTGGTTGGTTTTGTATAGACGCGTCTTTGGAAAGCATTTAGGTGTAAGCAGGAGAAGCCCAGAAGAAGCGAGTGTTTTTGAAGCCTGGGGAAGGGGGGGTCACGTGGTGGAGCAGGGACACCTATGGCAGGCAGGCTGGGTCCAGAGCCAGGCAGGAGGGCAGGGTGACAGAGCGTGCAGCCACAGCAGGGTGCCTTAGTAGGCTCACAGCTCTTCCATTTTTATGTGACATCTTGTAGTAGAGAGGTTCTTCCACCCTCTTTTCTGCCAAAGAACCACATTTGTGACTTAGTGAGTGCTACTACTTGGGTTTTAGAACTGCAGGTGAGGGGAATCCATTCATGCCTTTGGTGCTGTGGTCACTTTGAGAGTAGGCAGCATTGACTAGCATGGAAAGTCACACAATGCAAAGAATCCATTAACCTTCCCAGCTTCCCTTAGGATCCAAAGCTATTATGTCACCAGGCAAGCGATGGGAATAATGAGATGGCCCGCAGTGGACAGACCGCACTGGCAGCACAGCGGCCTGTGTGAGGGATTGGCACAGTTGCCGTTGCCTGGCCTGGGGTGGTGAGAGACTGCGCAGTGTTGGGATCTGGGGCGTTCTGCCCAGCACCACCCCAGCCGCTTGTTTCACCTGGAATCAGGAGCACGATGGGCCCTGGCCTTCTTATTTTTCAAGAGAAGTTAGAAATCAAGAATTCAATCTGAAGTGTCTCAAATGCAGGCACTGGCAACTCCCTCAGGTGTTTTTTAACACCCCAGTTGCCAGCTGCACCTAAGGCCTCCAGTGACATCATGCCCTCACTCTTGGCGGGTTTCGTTCTTGTTTCCCTGTTACGGAATTGAGCAAATGTCAAGGACACTGTTCACAACAGTAGCTCATTCCAGTGTCCACAGTGTTTTCACTCCTCGTTTTCTTCTCTATCCCTTCTTAGTCTTCGAAACAGCCCGCCTCAGCTCTGGTTTCTAACCCGCACTTTCTCCTCCTCCATCTGGACTGCTCTTCCACAAGGGAGGGCCCGCATGCCCCTTGCATGTAATATGCCCTCAGGAAATAAGTGCTGACGGCATGTCATGTACAGCGTGAAGTTTTGTAGGAAAATAGACACACTGTCTTTTTTTTTTTTTTTTTTTTTTGAGTATACTTGTCACCTGAAAACCACTCTGCCCTTTCTCAGCTTCTCCTCTGCTTTGGGACGAGGGCAGTTACTGCCTGTCAGATAGAAAGCTCCTCCTCCTCCTTTCATTTGTGTTGTGGTGTCACTCGTCAGGTTGTGCCTGCCTCGGCATGGTATCAATTTTAAAGATTTTCCCAGTATTATGTACTTTCCTGTGAGGTTACTGAAAAGTTTCCATGCAGGATTTTGGGCCTTTTGAGCCCTCTACTGCCTAGTTTGGAAACACCCATCCTAGACCAAACCCCTTCTAGTTTAAAAACTGTCTCCTGATGGAAGTTCCCTGACTGGCTTGGTCCGTAGGTGACTTCCGTGAGCCAGAGCTGCTGTCCTCCTTGATACCCTACCTTTAGCAGGCAGAGGCTCTCTTGATGTCAGATGGAGTTTTGCTCAAGGGAAAAAGCTCCTGCCTGTGCTTGTAGAGACATCACCGCCACTGCAGGTCGTGGGGATTGTTTAGATGGTCCTAGATAATTTTTAGCATCATATGTAAGTCAATTTATTTCTCACCCCATATCTAGGGAGAAGATTGCCTACTTCACCAGAGCAAAGATAAGCATCCCGTCCCTGCCGGCGGATGATGTGTGATTACGTGGCTTAAGAAGTTATTTTTCATCTGTTCACTTTCTTAGGGAGGGTAAAAGACTGAAGATCTGTTTGTTTTTGTTTTGGTGTTTGTTTGTTTTTTGTTTTGTTTTGTTTTTGGTAATATGACTGTCAACTCTTGAAGAACTTCTATTTCACATTAGATTTTCAACACATTAATTTGTAAAATACCTTGAGTGTAATTTTTATATGCTTAAAAAAGAAAAAATTGATAAGAAAAATGGGATAATCTGATACACAAATGCTGCCCAGTATGTACGTATTGCCAGTGGGCTTTCTTTTGTAAAAATGGAATCTAGGCAGGACCCCACGTGTGTACCGTTGAGCCGACTGGAGAAAGAACTTGGTTTAGCAGGTAGTTTTGCGCCTCCTTTGCGTTGCTTTGAGTAGGCTGCGCCAATGGCAGCAGCGCCATGTGGCATCTGTGCACCGGTGAGGAGGAGCGCTTTCCATTTGGAGGGCAGTGTGAGCATGAGCTGGAGGGTAGCGTTCCAAGTCCATTTAAATGGGTGGTGCATTCATGGCCATCACCTGTGCAGGAACACCTCATTTTCTTAAAACAATTTCCTGTTCGTCCTTTTGTATTTTTCTAAAGAAAACTAAAATATAAACTACCAAATGCTCTTAAGAATTAAGAGTACAAAGCAGCAGTGCTCTTGGCTACGCTAAAGATCTTGGGATTCATGACACTGAGGGCAGGGAGAAGAAAGAACACCAGCCGTGCAGAGACACACGCACAGAAGCTCATCAAATGAGCAGCTGCTTTCTTCCACTCAGCCTGACTTTGCGTAAGTGTTCAAATGTGAGCTTCTGGCTGGCACCAGTGGTTTGTGCTGAGTCTACGCATGGTGCCAAGTGGTGGCCCTGTGTTCTGAGGACAGAGGGAGCTGGAGGTGTGGAGGGGTACGCATCAGCACTCATTCGGTGTCACCAAGAAGAGAGGAAACGATGTCTTGATAGAATCAAAGTTGCCAAAAACAAAAATGAGTGTATCAAGCAGATTTCTAACATTTAGTAGAAATTACTTAATAGCTCTCATTTTTGGGGATTCGATCTATAATTTATGGTAAATAGTTGGGAGGCAAAGGGAAGAATGTGCCTGGGGGGATTATTAATCTGAAGAATAAGCTAAGTTGTTTATAAAAAAGACGATTTTGGATGAACGAGTTTAGAGATATAAACTGACTAATGTGTCTTCCAGTTTAGAATTTCAGCTTACCCAACCCAGGCACATCTTAAAAAAACAGATCCTCAGTGCAGCTCTGACAACGTCAAAGCTTTTAAAATAAATAGTATTTAGGCCATTTAAGCCAAACTTATCACTCAGAAACAATTTTGGGTTAGCCATCTAATATAGCAAATGAAATCAATTTTTTTAAGAAATGCAAAATTGTCTTAAAGGTATGGACCTCTTAAAGAAAAAAAAAAGTGTTCCTAAGTTAGAATGCTCACTAGCAAGAATTTTTATTTTCTTGAAAGCAATTATATATGTTTTGGAAAGTTCATATTATTGGAATCGAAGTTCAAAGTAAGCATCTTCTGAGCCTAGAACTTTATTTTTTCCTAAATGTCCCACCACTTAATACAAATTTCTCTGAAGACATAACTGGACATGACAGACACTACTTTGAACAAAAACCAGCCTAGGGAATTGACTGCGCACAGTCCTGTAAGGCTGCTCAGTTCATTCTAGTAGATGACTAAGGAAAACTAGAACAAGAACGCAGTTCACCCTGGTCAAGGTCCAATGTGAAAGGCAGAAGTTGATTTAACACAGAGGTAAATGAAGGTGAGCTGTTTCCAGTCTTAGTTGGACCATGGAAATGTCTATAGAATTATGTGTAGTTGTTCCATACAATTTTATTTTCTTCATTTATTTATTTACAGTCTTATTTATGTTCTGTTTAATATATAGTTTGATTCTGGCCATTTTAAATATTTGACACAGAAGAGACTATATTGGAATATTTACAGCTTTATAAGTCTTTCATCAGATTAGCTGTGGACTTTTTGTAATACAAAAAGTTTCAGACAAGTATTAAAGAATAAAATCTGTCTCAGGCCGGTAGTTAGCAGTTGTGACCAAGATGCTTTTGGTTGTTGTATTTTACAAAATTTCCTCATTTCTAACATGAGAGATGAACTTATTTTAATATAATCCTTTTTCTACACTTTAAAAGTCAGTAATAGTGTTATGTATTTGTAGGCAGCTTTTAATAATCTTGTCATATTTGTACTAACCCAAATGATCACAGTGACAAAACAGTTTAATAACTTGATCACAAAACCATATGGACAAATATGAATTTTAATATTATAAATACTATTTTTAAAAGGTAGAATTTATCACACAGGGTAAAAAGAATGTAATATTTAGTTCTCAAGTTTTAATTATCAGTATATTATTACAATTTTGTATATCAGAATCTTAAGTGTTACAGGTACAAAAAGAATATTGCTAGCCAAATGAACAAAGTTTAGCTGAATCTCTGTAGCATGCAAATCAAATTAATTAAATTTTTTTGCTATTGCTTTATCTATATTGTATTAACTACCAAAAGCTCAGGACTGAACTAAATATTTAATCAAGTTAAATTCTGAACATGTTTCTGTCTTAATTTGTCTTGTTTGTAAATGTATGCAAATACATCACATAGATTAACTTTGGTTTCTGCACTTTCCATGTGTTTGTGGGTGGAAAAAAATTCAGTGGGTTTTTTTTTTTTTTAAAAAAAACAAACAAAGATACGTATTGCCTAACACTCTATTTCAGTGTCGTTTATTGTTCAGTTTATTTCCCTGATTGGCACAAATACAAGAATTTCCTTGAGCCATGTACCAAGCAAATACAAAATATTTCATGAAGAAATCCCCAGGCCAGCAGTTTGTGATGAATAGTTCCTGTTGGAAGCATGTGTATTGCTGATAAAAAGGAGGAAGTATTTTCATTGTGCAAATAAAATGAAGGGCTCCGGAATATGTGCTCTGTCGTCGCACCGTCTGGGCTGGCGGTGCACTGCATGGTGAGGCGGCCTTCCCAGGAGGCTCTCCACCCGCACTCCTGGCCTGGCCTGCCATGCGGTCCCTAGGCTTCAGAGCCGGGGAAGCCAGAAGTGCTGCCTATCAAATACAGAGCACAGGACGCAGAAGCACGATTGTGCCACCCAGTCTGCGTGAATTATCCAAAACACAGGATCGCCCTCCTGCTTCTGACATAGTCGAGAAGGCATGATTGAAGGCGGCTGCCTTTTGAAAAAGGCTCCATGGAGACACTGAGATCTCTGACTCTGAAGGAGATGTGTCCACCTTTTACCTCTAAAGCTTTTAAAGAGCCGATGATAATTTTATATAATAAGATGTCATGCATTTTAAATGAATATGCAACAGGACCTCAGGTTTATCGTACTAGGTTACCTTAAACACCTGAATGAAGTACATGAATGCCAAAATGATTCAGCTCCATATGAATAATACCTTCAAAGGTACATAAGGATTAATTTAATGCTTTATTTACCACATCTAGGCAGTCACTATTTTAAAATCGAGAAAACTCATTCACGGTAATGGGTGTCATTACTATTAAGTCTTGATTGGTTTTGGTCCCAGAGTAGAAGATAAAAGTGGTTCACCAGTCCTAGAAAGAAATTATAGTTTACTAGCCACAGGAAAAAATGCACTTTAGAAAATCAGAAGCATAGTGAGATGACGACAGTGGGAAATCCTACCAAATCCAGTGCTGAGCTGGCTCCTCCTGCACAGCAGACGCTTGTCATTTCTGGCTTAGTTTTTCAGGTTGGTGTTTCTCGTCTCCAATTGCTGATGATCTTCTTCCATTTGTGCTACTGCACAGTGGCCCGAAGCTAGGGGAGCATGGCTGGAGCAGGCTGCACAGTTGAGCAGATACCCTCCTAGCACAAGAGAAAGTCCAGCAAACCAGCCCAGAAAGAGGGCCTCCCCAAACTCCCACCTGGGGACAATGTCTGGGACGGTCTCATCCCAGAACTCCTGAACCGTCGTGTGGGCAACCCAAGAGACAGGAACCAGGGCTGTGATTCCTGAGGTCCAGGACAGAATTCCTCCCAGGATTAGCAGTCGCCTCTTGAGATCTCTCTGACTCTCTCCAATTCTCAAACAGTCCAGGCCAAACCCGGACACCAGCAGGCCCAGAAATCCCAGCCCATTTGACAGAAACATTAAGATCCTGGAGATCCTGAGTTCAGCAGGCAAAGCCAGGAAGGAGTCAAAGTCCTTGCACTGTATCCCCACTTCCTCTTGAACCACACAGGTTTGCCACAGTCCCATGGTCCAGTTTTCCATTTCATTTAAGTCCAGGTTGAGGTTCTTCCAGTGTGGCAGGTAGTTTGTAAGACAGGATAAAACCCATCCCAGCAAAGATAATGAAACTCCAGCTAGCTGAGCCACAGTTCTAAATACTAAAGCCATTATAATATCCCGAGAGCTTTAGCCAGACTAACACCTGCCCTTCGGTCGCTGTGAAAAGAAGTGTGACACTCGTGCTATAACTTATGAAACTCAGAAATATTTCTTCATTGTGTATATAGGAGGATTCTTGCCAGAGTGGCTATTGTTTGATTCCATGTTGAATGGGTTTCAGGAAAGGATAGGGAAATCATGTCGCAAAGCAGTAATGCCAAGGTGTGGCCGAGATCATGTTTGTGTCCTGTGGGCTGGATTTTGCAGAAAGCAGTTTGTCACTGAAATATAATTAAGTGATAATAATCCTTTCATGGTTAAGGTAAAAATGGCTTTCATGTTATTCCCAACTTCTAAGGGTCAAACAATGAAGAAGTCTAAATACAAAATGTTCAACTGATGGTTTTGGTTCAGCTCCTCCTGCTTTGTATTTCACTAATTGCACCTGTCAGATTTTCATCTCTTTATAGTTCTCACATTTCAAATGTGCATGCTATGGTGATACTGTTATTTTTTTAAAAAAATAAGTTCAAGGAAAGTATTTCTTAACCAAATAAATCAATCTTACCGGAAATCTCTCTACACCTGAACTCAGGCCTGTGTTTTAGAAATTCCTCAGGCTACATATACCGCATGGCATAGGAAGCGATACTGGACTACATATCTAGCTTATTTATCTGCATGCCAGTTTGTCACATGCAGGCTTGTGTGCATAAACACTTTTTTTTTCTTATATGTGCTTTCTTTGCAGAAGAAAAAATTAAGCAGTAGGATTGTAGGTTAGAGTCAGCATTTCTGTTTATTCACCACTAAAGTATATATCCCCATGTTAGTAATTTTTCATTGAACAAAGGAAAGTTTTCATTCAGATGACCTGAGAATTTCTGGATATCAAGAAAAATATCTTTGGAATTGTTTTTCTTTTTCTAATATGAAAGTTTTGAGGGAAAGGATGAGAGAAGAGATTGGTCAGTATTTTAAATCTGAGAGGATCAGAAGGTTCTGAAAACCTTTCAGCCTCATAAAATCTTGTTACACTGAGTGCCTGGTAATATCCTAAAAACAAACCACTTCTGTTGAAAGAAGAAAAAAGTCATTGTTGTGGAAATAACACTTTGGGGTTGCTTAGCATATGGTCTTACCAATGTTGAACACTTAAAAGTTTTCAGACTGTTCTTTTTTTTTCTTTAGGAAACAAACTAATGATCATTTCTATCTAACAACAACAACAACAACAACAAAAAAGCTTTCTAATATGAAATTTACACATTAAAGCTTGAAACTGACTATATTGGACAGCCACCACCATTTTGATTTCAATAACCAGATCAATTAAGCTCATCTCACTTCTACCTATGAAATGCTTACCATAATCATTTTCATTTAGACATAAGATTTTCCTTCATTATTCTCCAGATTTTAGGGGGCAGTGGGCCTACCTATTGTAGAAAAATGGTTACTGAATGAGAAAATCTGAGCATCACAGATTTAGCTATAAAACAAAGACGTCTTTGTCATCACAGTTGATACAGGATACATCTCCCGCCTTGTTGAAGTCTTACACTTGAGGATCTGCAGTTCCATCTTCCAGGTAAGGACACTGAGTTTGCATTTGCACCACTGCATAGTGGCCCGAAGCTAGGGGAGCATGGCTGGAGCAGGCTGCACAGTTGAGCAGACACCCTCCTAGCACAAGAGAAAGTCCAGCAAACCAGCCCAGAAAGAGGGCCTCCCCAAACTCCCACCTGGGGACAATGTCTGGGACGGTCTCATCCCAGAACTCCTGAACCGTCGTGTGGGCAACCCAAGAGACAGGAACCAGGGCTATGATTCCCGAGGTCCAGGACAGAATTCCTCCCAGGATTAGCAGTCGCCTCTTGAGATCTCTCTGACTCTCTCCAGTTCTCAAACAGTCCAGGCCAAACCCGGACACCAGCAGGCCCAGAAATCCCAGCCCATTTGACAGAAACATTAAGATCCTGGAGATCCTGAGTTCAGCAGGCAAAGCCAGGAAGGAGTCAAAGTCCTTGCACTGTATCCCCACTTCCTCTTGAACCACACAGGTTTGCCACAGTCCCATGGTCCAGTTTTCCATTTCATTTAAGTCCAGGTTGAGGTTCTTCCAGTGTGGCAAATAAGTTGTAATAATGGATAAAATCCACCCCAAGAAAGATAATAAAAGTCCAACAAATTGCATCGCTATCCTAAAGATTAAAGCCATTGCCACAAGTCTTAGGACTTTGCCGCCCCTATAGGAGCTGCTGTCTTTTGCAGTGGACAGTAATGTGACAATCTCCGTTCTATGCTGCCTGGAATATAAGCTGTGGTCCTTAACTCTTTGGGCACTCTGAAATGCGTTTTTGTTCTCGAATATAGTGTTTCATGTAAAGGACGAAGGACTCTGTTAAAACTATGAGTTAGGCTTTCTGATAAGGACTTAATCTGTTACCTTCCAATTTGCTTGGTAAAATTATATCCCCAATGCTTGATGATTATAAGTCTAAGGATGAACAAAGAGGCCTCTATGACCCCTCACCCTAAAATACAACAGAAATCTTTGTGCTTCAATATGGATTAATTAGATTTTAAGTGGCGATAAAAGACCAGCTCTTTCTACAACAGGACTTCATTGTAAGCGCTGAATCAGATTTCAGGGATGCAAAACAAGGCCTTGTAAAGAAAGGTAGACTGTTTCCTATAATCTCTATTCTTCTCGGACTTCCTTAACCTACACAAGAGCCTGGCCCACGTCCTCGAGTGTCGCAGGAGCTCAGTAGGACTTGGCAGGAAGGTTCCTCGGAGTCCTTTGAAAGGTAGAGGCTGGCTTATGGGGCTGATTAAAATGAAAAGGACTGAGGCTGATGCCAGGGGCTACTGACTGAGAAAGCGAATGTCCCAGGAAGTTCCAGCATTCACTCTGGTTTTGTCTATCCTCATTAAGGACTTGGGGGTAAAGCATGATGTCTCAGTGTCCAAGGAAGTGTTTTTTTGTCCAGAGCTGAAGCTGTCCCCATTGTCATTTCAGCAGCGTACACAGAGCAACACCAGGCTTCAAAACTCCTGCCAGGTCCCAGACAAAAGTCTCTGGTACAAACACAATAGCCACAATGGGGCTGAGCTTTGAGGCTTCATCTTGTTTATTTTTTTGGTTGAGGCCACACCTTGAGAGCATACTTCTGCAGAGGGTGACCCCTCAGAGAACACAGGGCTGGCCTCACAGGCCAGGACAAGAGGTCACCTGCCCCAGATTCCCAGGGCTGCACCGTCTCCTGTCTGCGTCTCCTCTCCCCTGGGCATCCTGCACCTGCTCCGAGATAAAATCATTTGGGATTACAGGACGGAAAGGTCTCTGAAGGTGGAGCCACTGCCCTGGGAGGCTCTAACCTGGAGAAATAGAACCACTGCCCATCACGTTGCAACAGTGAAGTGGAGTCCGGGATCAGAGATGATCTTTTATGGTGTCTCTAGGAGATCAGAGAGAGAGGACCTGGATCCCGATGTTTCCAGATTATTTTGGATAAGATTGCATAAGACTTAGATTTGGAGTGGTACTGTCTTCAGCTTTTCCCATCATCTTAAGTTTAAAAAGTATGCCACTAGCTGAACTCTTCCTTAATTTTTATAAATTTTCAGAGTTCCTGAGGATATACTGGTGCCCTCACCATCCTGAAATAAGTTGTTCTAGGGTGCAAAAAGATACCCAGATCCAGAGGGCCAGATCACCAGTGGCCAGGATACGGCAAGCTAGAGAGCTCTTCCAGGAGGCAGCCGGGGCGGTGGAAGACGTGGAGAGCAGGCATGCAAGACCACAGGGAGATGATCCTTAATACCACACTGAAACCGTTTTTGAAAACCTAGTGGGGTAGGCTGCTCTATGACATGGTGAACTCTTCCAGCTACAGGCATCTGAGCCACAGGTTCTCACCTGCCAGGGTTATCATGGAGGGGATTTCTGCTGTGGTGGGAGTTGGGCCTACATCACCTCTTAGCACTCCCCCAACTCATTTATTCTTTCAGCATTAAAAAAATATGTCGTGAGTGTCCTCTTGCCAAGCAGGCACTGAGTGCTGAACAGCATGGATTTGACCCCTCCCGTTCGGGCTCACATTCGCGCAGGAGGCCATTAGGAAACAAGAGGATGAAAGAAGTCAAAAGAGCTGGGGTGTGAGTGTTCCAGGCAGATGGGCAGATGCAACAGCCCTGAGGCAGGCATCTGGGCAGGAGCGGAAAAGCTGAAGGCAGTTGGGATGCGGCACTGGGAGGGTTCCCACTGGTTCCCACCCCCGTGTTTCAGTTCCTGAATCAGCTGCTGAGACAGGTGCTTACAGAGCGGGGCTGCAGTGAAATGTGGACAGCAGACATAATTATCACCACATTGTGCAGGGTGTGGGGGCTACACTGTGTCTGTCTCAGGATTGTTCATCTACAGTATGGGGGTAGACACATGTATCTCAGAAACAGAACTGGAGAAGTCAGCGGACTGATGGAAGCTTAGGGTGACCACCATCGCAGTTTGCCCAGGACTGTCAGGGTTTTAGTACTGAAAGTCACCCATCCTGAAGAATGCCTCAGTCCAGGGCAAGGGTTGATAGACATCCTGTAATAAGCCATCCCAAAACTTAGGCACTAAAACAACAGTCATTCCTCATTTCTATGTGTGTGTGTGTTTTGTTTCTTGAGACGGAGTCTTGCTCTGTCACCCAGGCTGGAGCACAGTGGTGTGATCTCAGCTCACTGCAGCCTCCGCCTCCCTGGTTCAAGCAGTTCTCCTGCCTCAGCCTCCCAAGTAGCTGGGATTACAGGCATGCACCATCGCACCCAGCTAATTTTTGTAATTTTAGTAGAGACAGGGTTTCACCTTGTTGGCCATGCTGGTCTCGAACTCCTGACCTCAGGTGACCCACCCACCTCAGCCTTCCAAAGTGCTGGGATTACAAGCGTGAGCCACTGCACCCAGCTGGCCATTTCTATGTATTTTGCTCATGAATGTGCAGCTTGGGACTCGGCAGGGACCACTTGTCTCTGCTCTGGGTGGCATCGGCCCAACTGGGAGCTGGAAGGTCCCTTTCCAAGGTGGGTCGCCCTGTGGGCTAGCAGCAGGGAACTCAGCCACTATTGTCATGTAGGGTACAAAAGCCACACAGACAAGACCACCTCAAGCCAAACTGTAGCCAGACTGCTGCTGTCAGAAGCCCCCACCTCATCGGCTGGCAATAGGACCTGTGGACCCTGGCCCTGCAAGAGAGGGTTGAGGAAGGATCAAGTCAGAGGCCCGAGATGTCCAGCAAAGGCTTTGGATTCTGAAGTCAGTGGAGAAGCCAAATCTTTTGTTGTCAAAATGACCCTTTAAAAATCCCTTAAGCACTGGAGGTCCATAGACATCTCTCCCCAAGCCTGGCTGGCTGGGACCTTCTCTGACAATGGGCAAGTTTACTCTGGGTCCACAGGTTGAGCACAAAATGAAGAAGTAGGCTTGGTTTGGGATCTTGCAGGAAGAGTATCTGCTGAATCTGAAGGCAGCAGACTCCAGCGAGGAGGGCACTGGGAGCACCTGGGACATC